TGCTCTTAACGACCATTTTTCCATGCACGGACAGTTTTACACAGACACTGTGGGACCTGGTTCTACAGATCACCTGGCTGTAACGGCCGCGTTTGCTTGCACCGTGGGGTGGTCACTTTAAGTTCAACCAGGTTTTACTGTATTCACAACGCCAATAGCGTGGAACCCTTTCTGTTGCGCCTTCACCTTCTCTGTCACTCCCGATCGCTTCGAGTCTTGGATCAGAGTGACTATAATATTGCTGTTGTACACTTTATTTATAGTGGAAATTATTATTATTATTATTAATGCAATGAATATAACTAAATGCGCACTCATATCACAACCATGGGGACGAATCATGTACATGTATTCCAGAACGTTTTCTTGTCACAATTATCAATGGAATTCGTGACTAAAGAGAATGATGAAACTACAATAGGATTTATACACTTGGAGTGGAACAGCGAGGATACAAGCATAGTAAGAAAAATAGCACAAACCTAGGAACAATGTGCACAGGTAATAAACTATACACTCACACACACTTGCACATGCATGTCCATTGTCACACTGCGCTTGCTGAATTTCCTATCATTTCTCACCTCACCTATAGTTTATTACCTGTGCACATTGTTCCTAGGTTTGTGCTATTTTTCTTACTATGCTTGTATCCTCGCTGTTCCACTCCAAGTGTATAAATCCTATTGTAGTTTCATCATTCTCTTTAGTCACGAATTCCATTGATAATTGTGACAAGAAAACGTTCTGGAATACATGTACATGATTCGTCCCCATGGTTGTGATATGAGTGCGCATTTAGTTATATTCATTGCATTATTAAGATTATTGTCTCCACGTCGCCATTATTATATTATTATTATTTATTCACAGGGGCAATATGCTTTGGTTCTGCAAGAGTGCTCAATGCCTGATTCAGGCAGAGCGGCGTACACAAAGGCACACAATGAAAACCTTGGCAAATTAATTCCGTTGTGACTCAGAGTTTCATGGCTGAACCAATCATCAGACAACGATGATTAATTTGCCAAGGTTTTCATTGTGTGCCTTTGTGTATTATTTATTCATATTTTAATAGGGCAATCCCCACAGACTCAAGGTCTTCTTACGGGGTACCCTAAGAATGAAAGTAATGCATGGCGAAATAGGGATGGCGATGCAAGAAATCAAAACAGGCATAATGCCTAGTAACATTGGACCCACTGTGAACAAAAATTTAAAGGATATTGTGGGAAAGTAGAGATAGAAAAACAGAGTAAGAAAAGAAAACGGAAGGTTGGTTGCACTGCACACTAGTAATTAGCGAGGGAACGAGGCTAAGCTTTGCTGTTGCTCTGCAGTTTTCATACGGCTGAGGGAGTTACATGTAGTTGAAAACGGGGAAAGTCTGAAGAAAACTCAGTTGACGGTCACCACCAGGACTCGAACCAGGGACCCTCGCGTATGGCCAGCGATGCTCAACCCACTAAGTAATGGATTGGTGTAGTCATCATCCAAGCACTTGCGACCGTTCAACATTTTCTTCAGACTTCGAAACACACGCTTCCTGTGAATCCACACAGGCAGGTGGGATGCAGCCCTCGGCCCGTCGCTGTAACCCACACACTTCACACACCAACTAGCAGTAGCTAGCACTCAGAGGCTCACTCAGAGAACTATAACCGTGACTCTGTGTAGTTCCATGCCAATTCGACCAATCACCAGACTACACAGGGCCCAGGGGCGTCAGAAGGTATTCATTTTTAGTGTGGTACGGTCAGCCATCGGAAGTACAATTATTTACTCGTGGGCCGTGGGGGCCCGGGGAGTGGCCGAAAATTTTGGAATTTTCGATCCCAGATCAGTGTATTTTGTTGATTTACCATCACGGGGTATGGGGGGCAAAAAGTGGTACGGTCAATACAGTAGTGACAGTACGGTGTGCGACGCCCCTGCTACAATTAGTCGATATCATGTAATTAGGCAAATAATAATGGCCTGTTTGTTCTTCGACTATAAAAAAACAACAACAACAACACATGATGATACTGACGGCTCGTGCCTAGCCTAGGGATATACATGTACATGATTGTACTACAGTCAGACCTCGCTTATCCGGTCCTCTTTTATCCGGATCCCTCGCCATCCGGAAGAAAATCGCTGGTTACCGTAGTAAGGTTGTATTGGGAGGAGCGAGAACAACACAGACGTAGGAACTCAGCACAGCATGCCTGCGGAGGTGGTGGAGGAAGGGAGATACAAATGTAGATACAGTCATGTACGATCAATACAATCGAGAGTACATAACCCCCGGGAGTTACGTACTCTCGATACAACGTACAGTACTGGCCAAAGAAATCCAACCTTCATGAAAGTAGGACCGCGTTAGAACCAGGGAGTAGTACAATACCTTTACTGGATAGGTTAGAACGATTCCATCCCGCGACAGCGCGTCCACTACAGCGCGAGGCATTTCAGCGCGACCACTTCAGCGCAAGGCATTTCAGCGTGAGGTAGTGTCTGTCAATAACAGAATGAAGAAGGTGTGTATGTCATGTGTTTCTCGTTTTCTCTAACTCTTTTGCCGACAGATGCGTTAGCCCCATTATTATTATTATTATTATTAGTGTCAGCGCGAGGCACTTCAGCGCGAGGTGATGTCAGCGCAAGGCATTTCAGCGCGATGTACTGTCAGCGTGAGGTACCGTCAGCGCCAGGCACTTCAGCGCGAAGCACTTTCGCGCGTACCATAGTACGGAGTATCGTGCGCATTGTCGTACGCACGGAATTAGTGGTCTCGTCTGCACTCTCGCTAGCGGGATTTGGTGATTCTTTGACAACCTTGTTTTCACATAGTTTATTGAAATTATTTAGTAGGCATATAGCGATAATTATGACAAGAGAATCCGTAGATTAGAAATGAAGAAGTCGACCAACATTGGAAAGAAATTCAAATTATTGGTGATTTCCCAAGTTGCACGTCTGACTTCCAGGACGCGAACTCGATCGTTAAGTCGAGTGTATGAAGCTTTCCCGACTGGGATGCGCTGGCCAGCTTGCATCTGGCATCTGTCGTCCACATGTATCAAAGGAGGCGAAATCGCCTGTTTGTGGTGCGACGTTAAATAAACTTCTACAACAACTACAACAACAACATCTGGCGGCAAGAAGCTCCGTACCTTCTTCAGTTGCTCCAACAGCGCACAAACGTTGGGATGGGTGGTGTTCACCTTTCGGCTAAATCGATGGTGCCATCCCTCAACACCGTTGTTGGTCCTGACGTCCCTTCCAGGGCAGCACCACAGCGACATCGGAACGTTAGCATTCTCAATCCACTGTGTCCACTGTCAATTGCTGAAGGTTTAAATCAGAGGCGATCTCCTCCAACCAATCGAAGGCGCCTGTGACCTGGTCTTCTGGCAGGAATGGCAATGCCATCAGTTGACGACAGCATACCCCGACAAGTTGTCAACAGTAATTGATAGGCACTAATAGTCACTATAATTGCTGCCCGTACGGCGTACGTACATTAACATGTACGGCGCTGAAGTGCTTCCCGCGGAAAAAATCTGCGCTGAAGAAATTGGCGCTGACATGTCCTGCGCTTTAAAATTTCGCGCTGAAATCATTGGCGCTGTCAAGACACGGCGCTGAAATGGGGCTGTTAAGTGTGACGTCACGGCCCCTTCGATACGCATAGCAACGGAGAGCACTGGGGACAAACAAAAGTCGCGTCCTCTGGATGGAACCAGTTGTGAAGGGCAACAGCATCTAAATGACTGGAGAGAGAGCAGTTTTTCTTTGCTTTTTCTTCAAGCGATTGTTGTCGCTCTGTACTCCTTGTTCTTTCCTCTACAAATCTCCTGTAGTCGTCGAGGGCCTTCATAATGGCTGTGAAATTGGCTGCCCACTGTAAAACTCCGTGTTTGAGAGTGCTTTGAAGATTCTTCGCCTCCTGATGGATCAAAGTACGAGCGCTCCCTGTGGATTCGATTATATGTAGGTGAGTTGTTCAAGAAATCAGTGTCTTCTTTCTGTCTCTGCCCTCACGCTGGCACAATATCAGCCTCTATATCCATGACAGCCCGCACCTCCCGTAGACTGCATGACTTAGCTGTATTCTCGCCCTCCGTGGTGATTGAAGACCCATGGAAGAAGTTGTTCAGAATGATGTCCTGAGAATAATTATAAAATAAAATAATTCCAGGGAATTGTTACAGGGTATTTTGGAAGGATGGAGAGAGAGAGAGAGAGCACTGTTTGAAGTGTTTGTCTCACTGTAATTACTCCAGATTATTGAATGGTGTATGATCTACTCGATATTTTCCGCAATGGTTTTTCCTGATCTGCGGGATCTCTTCTTTTGCTGTTTGCATGTTTACAGGAAGTGACTGTCTGGTGTATCTGCACCAGATCCTGGTGAGATGAAGTCAGATGCAGAGGCAGGGTCGTCCAGTGATGCAACACTGCCGCTCTATGTGCAACGTCACCGCTAATTCCCCCGGCTAAAACACAAACACGTGAAGAGACTACAGTATTGACCGTTCTGGTAATGAATCGTGACTGCTCGGACAGTCGATAATCGAAACACAGAGCACCAGCATGATGTTTTCATATTGGGAACCACACACCAGCTCAATTCTCAAGCCGAAAAATTATACAAAACACAGAGCGACGCAACAAGAGATCATCCGGCAACCAAACCAACCTGGGTCTGATGCACTGAATAGTCCTGAAATACGCAGGCCACACAAAGCAGTGCAAGCACAGACTGTTACAAGGTACATGCATTGCAGAACAAAGTGTAACCAAAGATACACAGGGTTATAGCTGCACACTCGTGCATGTGCTCGCTCAGCCCAAGAACACGCAGGATGATAGAAATAATCCGGGGGAAACACGCTAATGTCATGACCGGGGAGTGGGCCAGACATACTCTCAGGATTCTACAATTCCAGGTTCTTTACGGAAATATACCAGGAGTCCAGATACCCATTCCTCACCCTCACCACACAAGAAGATCAAAGCTTCACTCTAGGACCAAGCTCAAACAACAGAGAAGCAACAAGAACAACCAGCGATCGATGCAAAGCATCGAGCTATATACTACAAGACCTAGTAGCGTGCGCGGCGCGGAGCGAGCGAGTAGCCAGCAAAGCATGAATAGTGATAGGTTTCACAACACTATTGATCGACAAGACACATCGCCGCCACGGCAAACACTTCATAAAGACACATGTATAAGCAGACGGAATACAATACAGATAATGACATTGTAGCAACACACGGACACAACACTAGCACCGAAGTAAGCATCAGGACGTAAATAGTGCAGCTCTGAAAAAGTAAAAACTACATTGACATGTACATTGGTGTGCCGAGTAGTATCATCCTTGATTACCCATCCAACCAAGATGTTATCAGGTCCCAGACGCCGAGATCCCACGCCGAATGTGAAGTGCATCTAGCCTTGAACCTGTTGCACAAGGCACACACATATGACAAAAAATGACATCCACTCCGATTATTTCCAGAGGTCAATCATAACAGAACACAGAAATGAAACCACGGGCTCAACAAAGTAAACGCAAAGGAAATTAGTTAAAATAATCCATGAAGTGCTATTTTAATTCCAGCGCTGACTGCAGTGTGGCGTCATGGCCCGATACCCGCTGAGCATAGACACAAACTCCATTTGACAGGGGCACGACATACTATTTTGGAATAAAGTCACAGGGGCGTAGCACCCGCTACGACTGGTACGACCATGGCCGCACCACTTTTCAAACAGTGTGGTCCGTCTGGAACGTGCAAAACCGTAATAAAAAATCAGGATCCATCGATATTTGCATATGCGCATCAGACCTTTTTCTAGACTCGTACTCGTAGATCTGTTATGCATCTGCAGTCGTACTGAGTACTGTACTCGACTCGACTGCACACTGCGACAGAAGTTCCCAGAACGCAGGATTTTGTGTCTTTTTTACAAAATTTTCCGGGGGGCCGAACCCCCCCCCCCCCCTCCAACACGGCCTTCCGCCGCACCGACCTTCGGTCGTACCACTTCCAAAACCCCTCCTACGCCCCTGAGTCATAAAGTAGAGCACTCCAATGACATGACGGACACCTCGTGCAAATGCGTGGTCTGTTCATCCGGCCAACTCGGCCACGCATGAGAGTGTGTGCATGTACGCACGCAAGCGCGCGCGTGCACACACACCATGTATTCGGTGCGTATGGCGTACCTGTTGCGGAGATAATGAAGATGGAATCATTATCATGATGTTACATGACATTGTACATGTACATTGTATGTTTGAGTGTAAAGTAAATTTTATTTTATTACACATTTCTTCGACACAACTTACTCCACATCTTCGCATTTCTCATAATCCATCCACCTACACTCCGTCTCAGTTGAGGAAAAACTCTCCCAGGTATACACTAGTCACCACAGCCATGTGATGACATTGGGATGGGTCCCAAGCATGATTGCACTCTCCAGTTACAATATAATTTTGTCCAGATTATCTGTGAAGACAAAATGCAATGCATAGCGGCAATCGATGGATGAAGAGAGAGTTTGTAAATACACATATCTTTCCACTTGTTCAGGAGCTTACCTTTTGGAGTTCACATCGTTTACACGATCTCTCATGCTGTCTTGCACCTTGGCTTTGTTGACCATGGATACGCCATCCCAGAAGACATTCTACAGGAGCTACTAATGCAGAGCGTTTTTCACGCTCGATCTCGGCGATCTACCTCGTCACGCCAATAAAATCCTTCGTGACACTGGCTACAGTCACAAGAGACGTCTCAGTAAGGTAATGAGCACGACAACGCCGTCGAGATCAAGGACAAAGAGAAAACAAAACACTCACTGAAAACAGCAAAGAAGAAACGAAGAAATGTACACGATTCCTATATGTTGCCACTGACAACTGGTTCGGTGGAGACGACGCTACTTTTGTTTGTCCCCAGTGGGATCGTTGCTATGCGTATCGCAGGAACTGTGACGTCATCACTTAACAGCCCCATGGCACAGAGCTGAAATGCCTCGCGCTAAGGCGGTCGTGCTGAACTGCACCGCGCTAACATGGACGCGCTGTCGCGGGAGGTTACGGTTAGAACCAGGGAGTGGCTTTTACGACTCCCTGGTTAGAACGATGCATGCATGCACAGACCAGTGTGTGTAGTGCATGCTAGGGCCGCGTAGCGCCCAGCACTATTTTATTCATGCCATGAGGTGGGAGATCTGCGCCAAGCCGATGCTGGATTGTTCAATAGTAGACGCTCTGCAGAGCCTGGGAGCCATTGCCCATGACAGACCAGCATGGCGAGATCTATGCATGAGGGTCTGTGCATTGTGATATTCCGACAGATCCTGAAACAGTCAAACTCAGGAAATAGCACTATCATTATCACTCAGGCTGCAATATTCATATTATGGACATATTCATAAATGACATATCTTCAATACCCATGAGCTACATTGTATATAATATATATGATATAAGTATCATAATTATTATTATCATCGTTCTAGCTCATTTTTTCCCCTGTCATAGTCCTGTTTATCATGTTCAGCATAAGCGAAGTTGTGGATCATGCTTGCATGGTTGACTCCAACGCGTACATGCAAGTAATAATAATAATAATGAGGTTGGATGCCTTTGGTCAGCGCTGTCCATGTAATGCATCTATCATGCACACGTAGATTGATACTCAATGCTGTAGATCAGACAGGTACTGAGGTAGCTGTTTCGGCCATCTCAGGACATAAACAGCCACACAAAGCCGAACTCCGGGCCATGGCACAATAATTTCACCGCAGACATTATCATACAAGAGAGAGGAGAGAGA